CCATACGGACTTTGAACGTACAGTAAGCGTTGAAAGGAGCTGCGCGACAGGCTGGCAAATAAATAGCACAGAGCTAGGGAAAAGCTTACATTTGACTGGGCGTGAAATTCGTCACCGCTGATCTTCGGAAAGAGGCTAAGTATAAAATAAAAATTGCGGTGCTAAAACACCGAAGAAGCATGTTTTCAAGACAAAATGAAACCGAATATGGTAGGCAACCCACCGATACTTGTAGCTGCGATAGCGCCCACTGCCGTGCCTGGCTCAATGACAGCTCTCTTTAGCTTCGAGCAACATTTTTCAAGAAATGCCACAAGCTGAATGCGAGAGACACAGCGAGCTTGCACTTGAGACTTCCTTAAAAGCAGACAATCGACAGATTTTGTGCGTACTCTCATACACCTAAGGTTGCCCCTATAAACAACTAATAAGAAACCAGACAATTTAGCTGTCTTGTAGGAGATGGACACGCCGTGTATGCGGCACACTTAATGACGGGCTTATTTCGTACATGCGAATGCCCATCTACAAGCCATTGTTCGCCGCTTGCGAGCTAGGAGGGCTGGTTCCGCCCTACAAGTGAACCCGAGAATCGCCGATAATTCCGATCGACACGTATCCAACCCTTTTCGCTAAGAAACGAACTCTTACGCAGTTTTCCCCACACCCAAGTTGTCGTTACCTCAACCCACCACTCACCACTGCGATGTGAGTGGCAACAGTGCAAGGCAATTTAAATGACCTTCCAATAAATTGGACGGTCATTCTCGTAGATCCTCGCCCTTGCCATGAGCTCGATGAATGGGTCCGCAGCTGCAGCAGTGTGCCATTTTCTCCGCTCGAAAGTGCACGGAAGGGCGCTGGACGGTGGTTATACCCAGGTGCCGTCTCCATACTCGACCTGCTCTATCTTCATTAAGCAGCACTTGCATCGATACCCAGTTCTCGCAGTGGAACACGCGGTCAAAGATAGAGAACGACCAGAAGTAATGCGTTTGGTGCGTTTGGCTCAGGTTAGGCGTGTGGCTGGCCGTGCGGCAGCGTGGGAACAGTCGAGAGACGGTATTCGGAGACACCACCCTGCAGCACCGTGCCCGCGCACTTCTAACCGAAGAGGTGGCATGCCAGCGTAGTTTCGGGCTTATTGACCTCACACACGTCAAAGATCAGGCTCTGCGGAGGTGAGTGCAGAGTTTCTCCCAAGCAAATCTTGCTGCACGATATTGTGAGAAGGAAAATCTATCTAAAAGCTGTCATCACCTGTATCTTTCTTGGCTGCGGCACTGTGCACACTCGTACGTCCCGTCGGTCGGCGTTCTGGAACATTGATTCAAGTCGGTGGAAAGAACAGATGGTTCTAGCATCACAAACAGACAAAAGGCATCTTCTGAAAGAGCGTTCATACTAAGCGATTCAATCGCTCGAGCGATCGGGTCGCGAAGTATAGACGTGCTCTCACCTGAATCATCCTCGAGGAGTGAGTAAAGATGTAGGGACTTTATAAGGGATGAACGTTATACGATAATCTCCTACTTTTATGAGGGTAATCAGAAAGGTAAAAAAATTGCTGTTGAAAACCAACCCCCTCAGATGGTCACGACAAAACCTTCGGAATTTTGTGGACAGCTGAAGCTTTTTCGATGATATCCCTCACGAAAGCCTCCATTCGATTTCGAAACTCCGGATAAGACTGCCCGATTTCGGCATCAATAACTGTTTTGCACAAGGCCTGAAAATGATAGTATTCACTTTGAAACTCGACAGGATCGGCGGGGGGGGGGATCCTGAAAGGCCCTGGAATTACCACAAAGCCATCACAATAAAATGCGGGCTGGAATGCTGATAAGTTGAAATTTAAGGTGAATAATTTTGACCTGACAAAAGTACAAACATATTCAAACCGGAACACCTGAAAGATTCGGTCAGCACAATCGTAGTTAACTCTCACAGAGGTATTCAAGGCAGTTGGCACGATAATTTGGTACTCTGTCATGCAGCGGTGCTATATAGTGGGAATAAGGCGAAAAAACGAAGTGAAAATGGGAAACATCCAAAAAAGCCTCTGTTCCACACGACTCAGAAAGCAATTTCGGACGAGTCCCCCGTTGGCAACGTGCCAATAACCGCTACCGTAGGTGGGCTGCACGTATGTTCTCATATATTCGTGCAGCTGCTTCATATCAATCCGTTCGCTTCGTATTGTACTTCGCAAATGAAGCGATACGGGCATCAGCATCACACGGATATTTGTAGGCTGACGTGCGCGGTGGACGTCCAGGTCGGTATATTGCAGCTTGATAGGGCGCTATAAGGGCACCTTTCTCGAGAGACGCGTCACGCAGAGCTTGCTCAGGCGGAATCCGAACTTGTCCTGCTAGTCAGGCCGTCAGGGCGTGTCAGCCCTACATGTGTTGGAGATTTATCATGCCAACCGCCTTTAAGCACAGCAGTGGTCTGCAGCAAAAGGTCACGTGGAGGTCGCGCGCTCAGTTGCGCGTGTCGCGCGCGACAACTAGCTTCGGACCTTCGATTAACATGAGGATGGGCGAAGACGCAATAACGGCGAGATGGCATGCATTCTGATCAACTGGGAGGCGAAGGGGTGACGAATCAACTGGCGCGGACACCGCGCGCTGAGATATGCGCGACGTCGCGTAGTGACCTCGCGATTTTTGCCCCAGAATATTTCATACATAATACTGTAACTACAACTGCACCTCCATTTCATTCCGATTCAAGTCCTCATCGTTGCTGAATGGAAGAGTGTTCCGAACATGCTCCAACTGATGGGCGAAGTTGACGACGTAGCCATCGCTGGCTTCCATCAGTGCAGGGTCTACGGAAAGAAAGTACAAACTGTTGAACTAATGAGTTCTGGGGGCAGTTCGGCTTGAGGGGGTATCGAATGGTACTCAGCTGAGCTTGTACAGGCTACTTTGTCAACATGTAAATTCCTGTGACTCACTCGCACCATGTCGCACCTTCACAGAGGAAGCATTTTACCCCTTCACTAGTTTTGTTTTGCTAGTTCTGTTGAATTACACCTATTTGTAGAGTATTGTCGAAGGTAAACGAAGCTTCTGCTTCTGCGCAGGTTCACGGGAGACATCGGCTGTGGTTGATGACTGCCAGAAAAATGTCCCCACCAAGCCGAACGGCCCACAGCATTTGAGGAGTAAAAATAAGTCCAAACTAACCTAACCCATCCTCTCCGAAAGCGAACGCAATAACATCGCCGCTAGAAGTGCGTACAGTGCCGTCATAGTTTACGCAGAGATCCTTAAAAAGAATAATCCTTGTATGTGGTACCTTTCTACTCGGGAAACCCACCTCAAGGCATTTCACCAGCCGTCGCTGCATGTATCCCGTTTCAGCCGTCTTCACTGCCGTATCGACAAGCCCCTCACGACCGGCCATTGAGTGAAAGAAAAATTCAGTGGGGGTCAGGCCCGTGTAAAAGCTGTTCTCCACGAATCCTTTAGCTTTTGGAGTCTTTTGCGACCTCTCAAAGTGCGGTAAGGAACGTTTCTGGAAAGGAATCGAACCTCTGTGTCCCAAAAAGTCAAATCAAAAGGGAATCGCTCACATCAAATCCATCCGGCGGACGA